TCGACAACACGTGCGCCAATTGCGCCTGCTCTTCTCCAAATATGTTGTGTAGTTCCTGAGCGAGGAATGTAGCCAGACTCGAGCCAGTCGACGACTGTGATGGAATCTGGTTTGGCGAGTAGTATACGTCTAGCGTTGGCGAATATGGCTGCAGCTGCGACCGCGGCGTTGTACCCGTTTCGACAGGTATCAGTCGGATGACCAGGGCCACGTCCTTGTCATCGCTTGGGATGCTTGTTCCATCGACAATGACTTGCTGCGAGGCGTTCTGCTGGAAGGGCGAATCGGCGAGCATCAGTCGGAGGTGGTGGGCAGAGAAGTCGTTGATATCGTCGAGGGCATGTTGCGTCGTACGGAGGAGATGTTGCGCATCCGTGGAAGGGATCGGGGCCTCTACAGTGATGCGCAGAGGGAAGACTGGCTTACAGACCTGCCGCGGTGTCAGCTGTGTTGGTGACATGATGCCATACTTTGGAGGGTTCTACCTTGCCCTCAGCCCAGTCCGTCATCTCCTGCAGTGGCAGCTCTGCCCTGTAGATGGCTGTTGTCTTCAGCCATATTGGTAGGCCCAGGAACACTACGACGACCCAAAAGGAGAGGATGGACAGGCGTCGCAGCCATAAGCTCTCTTTCGTCTCGGGAGGAGGCTGCTTGGCCAATGCTGCCGCGGTGGATGTCGAAGGCGACTGGGCGGACGTCTGCTTCAACTCGGCCGCCAGCGACGCGTCGGAATCATTTGGTGCCGCCATGTTGCGGTTGACTTGTTCCATGCTGTCACTTGGGGCAATGTCGCGCTAACAAACGCGTCTGTGCGTCCGGGTCCACCCACCATTCACGCTCGCACGAGACATATCCACTACCTCGCAACCGACACATTCAAGAAAAAGTGCAAGCGCCCTAGAGCTCACGGTGACGTCAGATCAACTATCCTCCATGTTCTAATGTCAATGTAAGCTGGAGACTTGTTAAGCTTTTCCATGTATGAGGTGCAACCTCACTATTGCGTAATCACTCTAACCTGATAGATATGACAGCAGTAGACTATGATTTATTCATGTTTTCTCTTCTCCATCACGAGTTCTCTTGTGTCGAAGGCGCTTCGAAAGGTATCTGGTGTCAGTTCGGGCTCAGAGAACATCTTCCAGCCAGCGGGGGTCGACATGGTCACGACGGCTCGTCTTTCTACGAGCAACCCACAATCTAAAAGTTTAGATACGTGCCACATTGCATTGACGCTGCCTTCATATACTCGGACTGGGGCGCTTTGGAGCATAGGATCGGTTGCGATTCGCATCGTGGCGCAGCGAAGATGAGGATGCTGTCATGATTCTAGTCATCGTGACCGTACTGAGCTCGGAAGGGTCGGATCCATGGCTAGGGTCAAATTCAAGGAAACGCGTGCAAGCAAGGCTGACTAGGCTTCAAAGAGCGCGTTATTCTGTCAGCTGAGAAGCTTCGTCGATCTGGCCTCTACCAAAAGGAAGCAGTACTTAGGTAGTCAAGCAGGCCCAAGCTGCAACGAGCGATTGAGTTTCAGCTTACTATGTGTGCTTTCTAGCGCGCGGTCTCCAGGCATGTTTCGAGAGCAGACAGTTTGCGCAAAATGACCAAGTTATCTATTGATCGCCTACAATCTCATGTCTCGTGACAGCGATATGTTTCGTGGTCGTGCTTTCTTGATGGTCTGCTTGTGAACGCATGGTCCGTGCGTGCCAGCCTGAGTGAATTTCAATAGAGCCATATTTAGCTTTTGCGCTGAATCCCTTGATCACTCACGAAGAACCTAGTTTCCAAGTAGCTACGCACTATTCATCACTCATCTCATATCTCATCATGGTTGTTTCAGGGACGCATGCGATCGAGACAGGCCAGCAAGGGTCAGCACGCGGGGAGCTTCGATCGACGTTCCTGCCCCGCCGGCTAGACTACTTGCAGCGACAAACGGTCCGTGCTAAGCGGGGTTGCATATCTGGGGAAGGAGAGCTACAGACGTGACGCGGAGCTTGGGCACGAGACTATAGTAGCTACCCCTCTCAGCTGAGACAGCTTCGCTCCTTCCTACTACTCTTTCCCCCAACAACTTCATGCTCACTTCAACAACTTACTCAATCCATTCCAACTCACATCCTACTTCACATCATTCACAATGAGTGCAATCGCTGACAGCACCGATGGCCCTGTCGAGCAGGTCAAGGTGCTGTTTGCCCTGTTCCCGGGCTACAACACGCTCGACGTGGCAGGTCCGCTTGAGGTCCTCAGTCGCTCTCTCCAGGACTCCAAGGACAAGTGTAAGCCTAGAAGCTCAGTCAATTGAATGTTTGTTGACACTTCACAGCCAGCAAGGCCTTCAACTGCCAGTTTGTCGGCACAGCTGCTGCCATGACGTCCGTCCAGGGTCTCACCATCAAAGCGGACATGGACTACGATGTAAGCATACCAGTGAGAAGCAGGGAACCTACGCTGACATCCAACTCAGGATGCCAACGACGAGCTTGAGGACTTTGACGTCGTCATTGTCCCCGGTGGTGAGGGTGTCTTTGAGGTCCTCAAGAACAAGTCTGAGCCTCTCGGCCTCCTTACCAAGTACGTCGAGCTCCAGGAGAAGAGTCCTAGCAAGGAGCGCACCATTCTCGCAATCGACGTCGGTGCTCTGCTCCTCGCTCAGCAGGGCATGCTCGAGGGCCTTGCCGCTACAACCCACCCAGACTACTACGTCCGTCTCGAGACCATCTGTCAAGATGCGGCTAGACGCGACATGTCGGAGCGTACAGACGTCATGGAGGAGCGGTACGTTGTCAACAACGCCCGCTTCGACCTAGGCGAGAACCCCGACGACAACCCGTAAGTAGGCCTTGAATTGCGGTGGCATGCAACGCTCACCATTACAGGTACATCATCAAGAAGTCGCGTGAGCCGCCGAGCGCTCCCGAGGGCACCAACATGGGCCATGCTCGTAGGAAGTCGATCGCTCGCAAGGGCAGCAACGCCTGGCGCGACTCTCGCCGCCGCGAGTCCATCGCTCGACGTGCTTCCATGCCCCTGGGCGGCATGCGCGTCATCACCACCGGCGGTGTGACTGCTGGGCTCGATGCCAGTCTATACTTGGTGGGTTCTTTGGCTTCGCACGACTCGGCTCTGGAGGTCGCTCGTGCTATGCAGTATTCTTGGGTCAAGGGCGTTACGGTCGATGCGATCGATGTTTGAGCTACGGCTCCCGCGCGACAAGCGAAGGCGTTTACGAGGAAGGGTTGAACGGAGATCTGAGAAGGTCATCTGGAACATGTCGGGAATCATAGAGATTTACCACGACGAATCATGTGAGGATTCATTCGAGAGTATGTAAAGAATCAAGAAATTCAAAACGAGCTTCTCGGGGTGTGAGGTGTCGTTGTCGGATGCGGCCGTGTCGGTGCGAAGCTTAAGCGTCTCCACAAGCTCCACAACAGGCGGGCAACCGTTCATCCGTTCTTTGCCTCGCCAATTCCTACGCGATTCTCATCGCAACTTGCGCAACCGTCAGTCTTATTTGCATTGGCTTGGCTACAGCGTTCATCATGACGCGGCTGTCATCTCGAATGAACGATTGCGCGGCGGGACCGGTCCATCTCGGCCAGCTTTCCACAGCCGTCACCGCTCGGGAATTTTCATTCACATTGCTATTCACAGCGTTCACCACTTCTGTGCATCAAGTGCACACTAACCTTGCGAACCAGAACTATATGAAAGTATGAGACTCCCAAGGACGTGAGATCACTGACGCATATGCAGTAATAGTTGTCTCATGCGGAAGCGTGTGAGCCACTGGACGTCGGCACGCAGTCTCGTCACAGTAATCGACGGACTTTATCCGCGGGCGTAGTATGTCGAACCTGGCATCTCGAAGCGTTCAAGCGGAGCAAGCTCTACTCTCCGTCTCGTCGACTTCGACACAGCGCAATGCAAGCTCGAGGTTAGGCCGATTCCTGGAACATACGCACCACGCTGTCCACATCATCGCCACGGGCCCTTGAACATCATGCTGGCAATTGAAGGACTTCTCCTTCGATTTTGCTTTGTCACGGAACCCACAGATTCTGCCTAGACGTCGTTCTCAAGTTCACTGTGCCCCGTCTGACTGAGTCTTGTAGAGCTCCCACCAAGGACCCGTCGATCATTGCTTGCCCACACGAAGACTCCGACGCTTTGACTGGCTTAGCATTATGGCCGTTGTTTCCAGAGCGAGCTTCTAGCCATACTCAGCCAGTATCTCAGTGTGCATGGGCTCTTTCAGTACGCTTACATGGTCCTGGGCCTATCATCTCCATCGCTTGCATGCCATCTAGCTGATTCTGGGCGTGATCCTACGACAATCCAGCAGACAGGCGCACTACGACCTCTTTCTTAGCTCCAAGCATCGCTGAATGTGTAATGCTACCATCAGATCTCGTTCTCCGTTGGGTGAAGCGACGGATTTCCCGCCCCCGCATGAGGTAAGCAGCAACCGAAGCGCTTCGTCCCGAACCAATCGCGGAACATGTGATGTCAAGACTGATGCATGAAGATGGAGCTGTCTTAGCAGCCAAGTCTTTATCATCCAGGTCACTTCGGGATTTTGTCAACTTTCTGCTGCGATCGTCTAGTTGTTGACTTCGTATCTCACCTAAGAAGTCGCCCTGTAAGGACATCCTGCCTTCTTTGAACTCTCTATGGCTCCATTTGGCATGACTGACACAAGGTCGCGTTGAGCTTCTACCTTGAGCCAGTAACAGCGATATAAACACCATTGCTTACCGGAAGACGTTCTGAGTGCCACCAAGGCAGGACAAGCAGAAGGATCACGACTACGTCGCCAAGTGAATCGCCATTGCTGAACGACCGGGCCTATCACACGTTCACATACGAAACATACAGGACGCCTATGATCGACGACATCGACGGGGGTCGTGAAGAATAGAGGCTGGAAAACAAAGCCAACGGAAAACCATAAATACCCCCTCGACTGTCTCTTCTTTCTTCTCAGAATGACAACACGCAACCTAAACGGCAATTGGATTGACACTCTCCGAAGACAGTACGTCTACGACCTGAAAGACGACTCTTCCCATCCCATTAAATACCTTCTTTACAACCCCCACAAGAAGCAAGACTTGTACTTTGTTATCCCCAACAAGATCGAAGAGCCGCAACTGAGACGCTCTCTTGTCAAGTATCACCTGTCTACCAAGGGTACCTCAGTCGTCGAGTGGGAGGACGAGCACGTCAAAGTTATCTACCACCCTCGATACGCAAAAGGACTACGAGAAGCCGCTCAATCAACCAACGAAGCAGAAACCCAGAACGAATCACCAACTCCCGAACAGCAAACATGAAGTTCACCCTCGCCACCGCTCTTCTTCTCCTCGCTCCCGCGCTTATCGAAGCCTGGAAGTTCGAGGTGTTCGAAGAAGATTGCATCACCTCCACTGACTTCAACGAGGGAGATGACGATGTAGAGTGTGAGGACACGGCGGAGCCGCACGGCTGTTTCCGCATCTCTGAGATGGGTAGCTGCGAGATCTTCTTCCATGCCGATGCTGATGAGTGTGAGGATGGTGAGGTCACTATGTCGTACACGGCTACGGACCAGGATCGCGATATCACGCCTGACTTTGAGTGGAACAACTGGAGCGTTCAGTGCTAAACGTGAAGACGCATTACCATCATGGCGGATTGAAAGCTGAGGTGTGTCTGGTCCGGTGGACTGTCCAATCGCTAGATACTATACCTAGGTATTTTCTTGTTTCTTTAAGTTTTGCTGTGATAGCATGCCAATCGTTAGATACATACTACAATCGAATCTGTACACATCTAGAGCGTTGATGTAAACGTCGCAGAGTCAGTGTTTACGCTGAAAACCACAGGAACGGAGTGTAGACGAAGCCGTCCGATCGTTGCGTAGGTGCATTGCAATAGGCGACAGGCGACATGCGTTCAGTGCTACTTGAACTACTTTCACTATTTTCGATGTTGGAATGGTGAAAAGGTTGATTGGTAAACGTCATGCAATGTACGCAGTATTTGTACACTTCAACGTCACCTAAACTACGACGACGCTCGAGGCCTCCATGGCGTCTTCACGAGCGCTGCAATCAACGGACTTCAGAACCTGCCTGATCGGGAAATTTGGCCTCACGCTAGTGGGCCCTACCATGACCAATCACAACCGCGAAGTGACAGACCCGCCTAAACTTGCCTTCCCCTGCACGCGTCTTCCCCAACGCAACCGCCATGTCTTGGCCACGACGAACCCAGACAAGCCACAAATGTCGCAACACATGGGCGCAATGATTGGACAATGGATGTCCATCACGTCTTCTTCGCGACTGGAGTGTCTTGGCTCCTGCGCGTCTGTCTGTGCATGATGCGTGCGCCCAGCTTCAAATCCTTTCGAGCATATAACCGTCTCCCTCCTAATCCAACTGTCTACATCACGACCACACGTATGAGGTACTAATAATGCCACTTCAATCCCTCATAAGCTCGCTTCGGCGGCGCAGCCATCGCGCCGCTCCTCCACCAGCGCACTTGCAAGCCAACACCGAGAAGATCCAATGGCGTCTCGTCGAAGTGTTTACCCGTATGTGGGATCTGGGCTTCACTGCCTTTGGAGGGCCACCTGTGCATTTCCAGATTCTACATCGGAGATTTGTCGAAGGATTGGGGTTTCAGGGTGGGAGCAAGTGGTTGGATGAACAGACTGTAAGTATATCTATGCGTAGTGGTGATCTCAATGGTATCAGTACCAATGAGATGTGTTGCAAGAAAGAGCTGGGAATTCTCTTTGAGACCGGATGGAAAGATTTTAAAACAAGCCACTCTTCCAATCACATCCACAACAAGAAACCAGCACAGCTAACCCGGACCCCAGTATCAAGAACTCTTCGCAATCTGCCAAGCGCTCCCCGGCCCCGCCTCCACCAAAATGTGCTTCTGCATTGCCCTCCTCCACGCGGGTATCGTCTCCGCCGTCTTCGCCTTCCTCCTCTGGAGTCTCCCCGGCGCAATCGGTATGTACGGCCTCTCACTCGGAGTACAAAAGATGCCCGAACGCCTCCCTCCCATCGTCTATGCCCTGCTCTCTGGTCTCAACGCCAGTACCGTTGGTATTGTCGCATTGGCTGCTGTTCAGTTAGCCGAGAAGGCTATCAAAGACCGTGTAACACGTATCTTGGTCATCTTCGGTGCGTGTGCGGGGTTGTGTTATAATGCGCTTTGGTACTTCCCTGTGTTGATTGTGATCGGTGGGTTGACGACGGTGGTCTGGGATATCTGGCTTGGGCGGCGCGTGGGTAAGATGAGAGCTGCGTATCTGGCTAAGAGGAGGAGAGCGAGGAATGAACAGGGTGATGCGGAAGAGGTTTCGGTTACCACGCAGACCATACCTATCGAACTTCAGCGACCGGAAGCTGTGAAGAGGAGGGTTGGGACGGGTAGCTCGACTGATCGCATTGTGCCTGAGCATGAAGAGGCGGGACGGAGTCATGCTGGAGAACATCCTGTTGTTGGTGATGTGACTACGACGAATGAGCCTGTGGCTGATGTTAAGACGCATAACATTTCTGTCAAAGTTGGCGTGTCGCTCATCGTGGGCTTCCTCGTCTCCTTCATCGTCGTCATGGTCATCCGTGGTACGGTATCTAGCACCCGGTCATTCGATGTTTTCTCCAACATGTAAGCACCCCGTGTATCCACCCAGCTCTCCCCCACTAACCTCACACCGCACAGGTATCTAGCCGGCACCATAATCTTCGGCGGCGGCCCCGTAGTAATCCCCCTTCTCCGCTCCTACGTCGTAGACCCCGGCTGGGTATCTCCTCGAGATTTCCTCCTCGGTCTCGCCATCATCCAAGCCTTCCCCGGTCCCAACTTCAACTTCGCGGTTTACCTTGGCGCTTTGGCCATCGCCTCAGCTCCTGCTTCTACACCAACCATCGTGGGCGCCCTCCTTGGTTTCGTTGGCATCTTTTTTCCTGGGATTGTGCTCGCAGTTGGTGTGCAGTCTATCTGGCAGGTTATGCGCACCAAGGCTTGGGTGGCTAGTCTGCTAAGAGGTATCAACGCGACTGCTGTGGGGCTGGTGTTCACAGCTGTGTACAGGCTTTGGGAGATTGGTTATCTGACGCCGGAGAGCAGTGATGGGAGGAGTTTGGCGGATGAGCCCTGGTGGGTTGTTGTTGCTGCTATGGCATATGCGGAGACGGCTTGGTTTGGTGTGCCGCCTGCCATAGCGATTATCATCGGCGCTGTTCTGGGACTGGGATGGTATGGGGCAGTCGGCCAGTAGGAGACTCATTCGCTCGCACTTCACACAAAGTTCCGTTCTGCGTGATGATGTAGGACAAGACACGATATGTGTATGTGTCGTTTGGACTATCTATTGTACAAATGCTAGATAAGAATCATACCAAAGGGAATGATTAGGGGAGATGCAACCCGATAAAAGGACCTCGACCCGCCAGCAAGAACAATAACCTAAGAAATGCCGGCCCCGATATCTAGGCGAAATGAATGCCAAAAATCAAGCCAGTGTTGTACGCCCTCAGCATCGAAGCCTTGGCCATCTAGTAACCAATGAATCCCAGTCAGAACGCCATGACGTGCCAGCAAAAACTCCCAACGAAAGCAATAGCGGCACCAAAAGACAAGATGATCTCCATCACGGCATGAGTCATGCCGCGGGACAACCAATGTCTCGCCTAGTTGTAGTATCCCCCATTCGGCGCGGAAGTAGACGTGTTCGGGTCGTTGATCTTTCCGCCTCCATTGTGAATGACTGGCGGGTTCTTGTATGATTTGCTGCGTGACGAGCTACCAGAGTTTGTGTATAGGCTCGATGAGGCGGCAGAATAGGCTGCAAGTACGTTAGAGTCATGCCTTTGAGGTGATCTGATAGGATTTGATAACGTACATGTGGATGATGTTGAGGGACGGGATGCGTAGGCACCTTTGCTCTGGCCGTAGGAGCCGTAAGATGAGCTGGATGACATGGTTGATTGGTGTTGAGATTGTTGGAGGCGTTGAGAAGGCAGTTGTGATTTGAGAAGATCAGATGAGTGATCGGCGTGTGTTGTGTGATAGACGGTAATAGAGTTGTATCGGGTATATACGAGACGGCAAGAGCGTTTCGTGATCGTAATCCAAGGTAGACTGTTGACTGAAGACCAATACGAGGACGACTGTGACTCTTCTCGAAATATGCTTGATATGACTGTAGATAATTGATCGATTGACTGATGATGAGAAGAAAGAAAGCAACCACCCACCTCAACCTACGACTATTTATTCCAGGCAGACAATACCTGAGGCCGCCAACCTAGGAAGACTCACCACTCGCAACGTTGACTGTTCTTTGTCGCCATCGGAGTTCTCCTAACGCTCAATGTAACACCGTTGCCTGAATAGCTGGGCTAGGCGCGTGGTCGAGGTGAATGACTGCGCGATTGCGATGATTCACACGCGTGGCTATGTTCACCTCGGGACAAGTCCTGAGGCAGGACACGCGTGTGCGCGAATCAGCGATTAGGCTGCACTTCCCGTTCACCTTTCCATGTGCCAAGAGGAAGAGTCATCATGAGCGGGTGCGGATTTACCGAAGGAACCAGTTCAATCGGCATGGACTAAGATCGGGTCACGGCTAGAAAGGGTCGAGGTGGTGACTCGCATGGCGCAAAGGGCGTACGCGTTGCAGCCATCTTCTCCTGCAAGGCACATCAAGCGAATCGAGCCTATGAAAAGGCAGCAAGAAATCTGTCAGAGACGCGTTATCCAGTGACGTGCCTGACAGCCCAGGCGACAGCGGTCCCCGAAATGGATAATGACAAAGCAGACAGAACTGGTGAACGAGAAAGTCACCGGTTGTCCGAAAGAAGACGGGGTGTGGGGGCTGGGGGCAATGTAGGTGCCTGGAGCTATTGCAGGCAGCATTGCAAAGCATTCACCGTGATGCAACGGCAAAAGAGCTCATCGGCGGCGTCCGATAATGAAGATAGGGGCATGTAAGAGGAAAAAGGGCAAAGATGTCAAGGCAAAAGGCGGTGTTGTGGAGTAGGGTAGGAGGCGCAGTGGAAGGGTCCTGGTGCATGGCGGGGTGGATGCGTAGCGGGCGGCCATCAATCCGAGCAAGGCTGTTGCGAGGCTGCACGCGGGTCTCTTGCAGGAACGCGAAAGTTGGAAGTAAGAATTTGAACATTAACCCTTCCTACCTCTGCTGTGCACCACAACGCTAATATTAAATAAAAATAAGAGGTAGTACTATATAAGATAAGGCTGCGAGAATTCCTGCTTTTTTAGATTTTAATTTTAGAGGGTTGTTGTAGTGTTGTAGAGGTCTGCCTACTATTAGCTTGTTTCCAACTTTCGCGTTCCTGCAAGAGGCGGGTGTTCATTCCGCACTGACTCAGTGCAGATAGCTGTGGCGATTGCGCGGCTCTGGATTGCGCAACTGCGCATATGGTCCATGTGTTTGCCAGCGCATGGCCGGTGAACTGCTGGAGAAGTCAGGACTGAACTGCTCGCCAACTACGCATGCGCAGCACGGTGGACTAAGGACGTTGTCAATCTCCAATATGCCAACGCAGAGCCGGTGAACCGTCGGAGGCATAGCATTTTCGACGTGTGACTTGGGTTGCTTATCGAGCCCGA